TCTCTGGGGCCCCCCTCCCGCTGGTCCCTTGGGTGGGGGGGCCGGGCCCCCCCCCCCCCCACTCCCTGGTGGACCTGGAAGTGCTGCCAAGCACATGGGGAGCCCCCCTGCACTCCTATGGGATGCTCCATCTGCCACAGCATGGCAGCATTCATGAGCCATGCCTGGTACCTTGAGGTACATAGAAAAAATATTTAAAGTTGTGTCTATGTCTGAATTGGCAACAAACCTTAATATTTGGATTCAGCTGAAATACATCAGGGAGAGTGGTCTGAATTGCTGTCCCTGATTGGGGCCAAATCTGAATTCAATATGGCCTGTTTTGCACACCCCTGTTGTACACCTGTGCAAACATTTATCCATCCAAACCTACATTAGCCAGCACTTGAACTGTCATTCTATTCCTCCAAACAGGAAGAATGTTCCTATATGGTAGGTTGGGGTGGATATTTGAGACATGTTTAGACACTTATGTGGTGAGGGGCTGTTTCAGAAAATGTTAAGGTATGTGAAAGCAAAGCATTAGCCTGGGAAGTGAAGAGGAAAAATTCTTGGCATAAAATAATAGCTTCCAAAAAATTAACACAAAATACTGGGCACACTTTAGAACACAGTGCCATTTGATATACCATAAACAAAACCACAGGTACAGAGAAGACAGGATACAAAAAAAAAAAAGAGGTTATTAGCATGTAAGAATGTGATCTAGCTTCCTTTTGCACAGAACTGGTTCAATTCACTGAAGCCAGTGACAAAACTTCTACCCACTTAAATAAAAACAGAACAAGATCTTGGGGAAGCAAGATTATTCCCCATAATACACAGTATTATAATTGGAGCCAGGTAAGGTAAAAATACAGGGCATTAGTAACTGTACGAGTCCCAATGACTTCCAAAGAAAGAAGATGCGTCTCGGATGATGAACCAAATATTAAGGGTCTTTCATAGCTCCTCCACATCATATTTCAACAGTCTTCATCACTGGGCAGACATTACAGTAGTATTTGAACTTCACAACCTCCTTCCACAGATACTATGTGCAGGGGCCAAGAGTCTCATGAAGATGACCCATTTGTTATTTTTCCAGTGTAACAGTGGTCTGCTTCATACTTATGACTAGAAGGCATATCAGGCACTCTAATAAAAACAACCTTTGCAATTACAAGCAGTGATACAGGCAGCAGAAACTCCCAACTAATCCCTTTCCTGCAAATAGATGTCCTAGAAAGAAATGCTTACTGACAAAAAAAAGTTTGCTTGAAACTGATACCAAAGTTCAGAGTTCTTATTCACCTCCACACACGTATACAAGATTTTAAAAGAATGTTCTCTCTCTACTCAAGAAGAGAGTCAGAGAAGCCAGGAAATCCTCCTTCCCATTCTTTTTATTTAAAAAAAAAAAGTCTAGTAAGGAATGAGTTGAGACAGACAAAATGATCAGAACTAATTTAACTTTGTGCAGTAAGAATGAATACTTGTTTATATTCTAAAAAAAAAAAAAAACTGTAGTAAAAGCATCAGCTGTCCATCTTGCAAGAGTTACATCACTAGAAAGTTTAAATAGGTGTTTTATTTTAATTACTTTGATAAAAATGTTACTCTAGAATAGCTAAGAAATAGTTATCCCAGCAGAAAAAAACCCACAACCCTGTGTAGAGCAGAACTAAGAGCAGCTAGAGAAGGAAATGAAAGAGTACACCTTGTGGGGGAGAAAAAAAAAGAAAGAGTTGTTAGCCATGATAAGACTTGTTAAGTGGCATTAATTAATATGCAACTTGGAATGTTGCCAGCCATCACTATTTCTAAAAATAAAAGCATTTAGTTTCACTCTACCAAAATGTCACTTTTGTCAGAATAGTAACAGAACCTTTGATACTGAATATCAAGCTATATACAAATTGTTCCAGAGTAGTGAAATTTATGTCCATATCTTTTTCCTGCACAACATAGCAGTTTCTTGTTCACATGTATGATAGCCTCACTGCTTAGGTTAGGTATACACTTTTGAACCCCATGAAGTGATCTGCTCACAAAGTCTATTCTAAAAATGCAAGTTGTCTGTAAGATTCATTAAGACTTCAGTGCAGAATCAAAT